AATTTAGATTGAACCCTAACAGCAACGGTCGAGGAGACCGAGGCGGCTGTAGGTATATGTGCCTGCGTGATGAGTAAACGAAGTGCGGCGATGTGGATGCCGAGAAAATGACAATAGCGCGACGAAATGTTGTGAATTTTCAGCGACAGATTTTCATACGGTTCGTTTACTCCACGCGGTCATATTATCCAAAAACAAGATGATTTTTACAGTGAAAGTAATGAAATTAAGACCAAAACAAGCAGGTAAAAACAGCGGCGCGCTCCGTTTCAGGTAGCAAGCCGCCTTCGTCTGTCGACCGTAAGTGGCTGGTGTCATTCATACCTGAATGACTTTTATTCAAGGGGTGACTGGTGTAAACGAGCTAAAACGAGCTTGTCCTCCGTCGCGGGGTGCTGAACGATATGTGTAAACGAGTGCGTGCGTTAATTGCTTATTGTTCGAAGCCTGATGGGATAATATCTTTATTCCAGAAATATTGAATATTGTCGTACTGCATGTTTTATGTGCATTGTACATTTTATTACCACTTCGATCTTACTCCAAGTGTTTGAGGTTCTTGTATCCGCAAAAAAATAATATGCAATTAACATGGATCATACGAAACGTATAATGATATTAGAATGAAACTAATATGAAATTTGCCGCACCTGCATTACGATGCATGAAGAAACTACATAAAATGAAATAAGGAAAATTGCTATACACATACATTCGGTGTAATATGAACCGTTTCTAACATGGAGTTGACATTCGACATTGAAAGTTCTTTTCACAAGTTAATGTCAAGAGGGACACCCGAAAACACAATAGACAAGGTCTTCGTCGATGGCAGTAACACGTTACAGGTGTTGCGGCCTTTTCCAGGGATTTATTTTTCAAAAGAAAAATCTGGCGTGAATCCTCGCCCGTGGAGCCCTGAAGAACTCTGCTCGTAAGAATATTTTAGACTTCTTTTTTAAAAGAGACAACTTTATTTAAAGAACACGTCTTTATTTATTGAGGGTCAATACTGGAATGGACTCCTTTACAAAACGATCGTTTTTGTTACATCTTGTTAATTACAATATGTCCTTAGATACCAGGAGCCAATAAAATAATTATTAAATTATGAAATAATTCCTGATTTGTTAATACATTTCTTTCAGCTATTCATTTTATAATTTTTAAGCGTTTAACATATTTGCCATGATTTAATATATTTTAGAGAAGGAGTAAAAGTGAAATTCGACTGTTAAAATATAATATAAGCTAAATATAACTTCACTTCTATCTCCTTTTCTAAGTACAATCATATACCTTAATTTGAATTTCACGCTTGTGAAGCTTACGCTAGACGCCGCTACAAGATGAGGGCGAGATTCACAACACAGGCAATCCGCGGGTGGTCGCCCTGCAGAAGACAAAACACAGTTTTATAATGTCCAGACTTGCACACCCTCGGCATCGTGGTTAAGTGGCCCCAAGTAGTGATTGAGAGAAAAATACAGATGTTAGTCTAAGAATGTACGAAATGAAACACGACCTCCAAGACACTTTCCCATGCAGTTCTTCCTTCCCAAAAAGTATTGACCATAAAAGAGTGGGGATCGACCTATTACGCCACATCGATCCTAACGAGGGAAGATCAGTTCAACAATATCAGTTGTCTTTTCCAAACGGTGCCCTTTGCATTCTACGAGCAAATAGAGAGTTCATGTTCGGAAAACTATGTAAGTTTTAGTTTATTTAGCAATTACGTAGTGATTATTTAGTAGTGTCGCGTACGTTGTCGTTATAAATAGTGCAAATTACTTATTGTAGGTTTCATTAAGTATTGTATGTTTTATTAATTATTGTAGGTTTTATTAAATATTGTAGATTTTATTAATTATTGCAGGTTTTATTAAATATTGTAGGTTTTATTAATTATTGCATGTTAAAAATTAGTATAAATGGATGTTATAAATTAATTAGAGTAGGTTAAAAATTAGTGTTAAATAGTTATGAAGTAATTATTTTGAATGTTAGTTTTGTGTAACATGTAGAGTGTTAAACCCAACGGAGGAACCGCTCGCGGGTGTAATTAATCGCGCAGTTTTTGAACATTTTTCGTGGTCGGAACAATCGCGCAGTGTGTGTGGACATTTTACGCGGATTTCTGTGGTGTAAACCCTTGGATACCAAAATGGAATACATCTTCCAGGAATTTGAAGATATTCATTTTATTTATCGGAGCGCAAATGAAAATGTCTCAAGAGCACAACGGATTTACAGAGACAGGTTCCCCAACAGAACCGTATCGTACGTGAAAACCTTTACTAGAGTGGCCCAGCGTTTGCGAAATCACGGGATGTTTATTCCACGAAAAGCCGGCGGATACAATCAACGCGACGCAGATTTGGAAGAACGGGTACTGCAACACATTGAGAAACACTGTGTGGCGAATATTGAAAGAAGAACAATTGCACCCTTATCATTATCAACAAGTGCCAGAACTGGATTCGGCGGATCTGGAGAGACGATTAAACTTCTTCACATGAATGAAAAAAAGAACACCTAATTTTATTTCAAAAATATTATTTGCGGATGAGGCAACATTTAATAAACAGGGCGCACTGAATCAGCACAATAATCACGTCTGAGCTGATGAAAATCCACACGCGGTACACGAAATGCATACCCAGCGTCAATTTTCATTTAACGTTTGAGCAGGAATATTAGGAAATCAAATTATAAGTCCTATTATTTTGACTGCCCGTTTAACTGGACCAGCATATCGCGCGTTCTTGGTAAATCAATTACTGGACCTGTTAGAAGACGTGCCACTCCCAATAAGAAGAAATATGTGGTTTATGCACGATGGCGCACCACAGCACTACACCATAGCCGTTCGAGAACATTTGAATGAATATTTCGGGGACCGTTGGATTGGCAGAGGAGGTCCAGTTCCTTGGCCTGCGCGATCACCGGATTTAGATCCCTTAGATTTTTTCTTCTGGGGATATTTAAAAACACTGGTATATTCGACGCTAGTGAACTCCGTGGAAGTATTGGAGCAACGCATACACTTTTCAGTAGGCATTATAACAGACGCCATGCCAAATTTACGCAGAATACATACAAATTTACATCGCCGTGTTACATTGTGCACAGAAGAGAATGGTGGACATTTGGAACAATTGCTATCATGACACTCGCGGACGGGACAATCGCTCAGTGTGTGTGGACACTTTTTGTGGACTTCTGTGGTGTACATGTATGTGCGGATTAATTTCATGGATACTCGTGGACAGGACAATTGTTATACGTGACAATTAGAGGGGGCATTAGCCCTCTCTACTCGATAATATTTGGTAAGAAGATATTTACATTTCTTGCGAATTTTCTCGAGTAATCAAAGTTAATACGATACAAATGGATTCGACTCAAATACTGCAGGCACAAGTTATCGACATTTTCTACAAGGTAAGTAGACAGCTGTTCCACCGACTTTTCCTTCACGTCGTTTAATCTTCAAAGTGACTGGACGCCCCTGGTGAGCCGTGATCCGCTAACACTCCGTGCGCGCGGAGTGCCGTCACTTGGGTCAATTTTTAAACGCTTATAACTAACAAACGAAGCATTTTTCGCAATTTCGTTATTCTTGATTTTCGTCTTATGTTGCCTCAAAGAATCAGCCCTTAAATTTTTTTTCACTAGTTGTCGAACGCCCTGTTTAATAAAATATAAACATCTTTTCCATACAAGTACGCAAATGGTTATTCTACTTTTTCTTTTACTAAATTGAATCATTTTTTTAAACCTAAAGCACGGACTCTGTTATAACATTCACCGTTAATTTCCAATATGCGAGCTAATATTATAAAATACAAGGATGGGAAATTATACGGACTTTTCAACCATATTTTTGTCTTATTAAGAACATAATGAAATACTTACTCATTAATATACTCAACATAATTAGAACGGCTACTTTTCCATCAACAATGTGAATTTTCATGTTTATGCGTGTCCTTCCACGTGAATACCGCATAATTTTATACAAGAAATTATATGTAGTCATTTTATCAATAAAAATGTATCTCCATAAACCTTACGATTGTTGTCATTATATTCACCCATTACTAAAAGCTATTTAAAAAACTTGAAATACTGTTAATATGAAATCTAATCTTTAATCTAATTTCTAGAAAAACAACGGATTTTTTAAATTTCGTTATACATATGTAGTATCATGAAGAAAGGATCACTGTGGCTATCCGTTAGTTACGCTAACAAGGACGTAAAAGAATTTACTTTGTGTAAGTGTAAAACTTTAAACCGATTGATTGTTTCATTCGTGCGACATCATAGAAATGATGTAAAAAACCATTAAAAATTCTTAATCCTGTTACTAATTACATGTATCCTCTCTAAATCGTTTCAAATGTATTACTTGATCAGATTCCGATTTAAAATTGTAAGAATGCATGTTGAGCGTTAGATTGTAAAAAGCAATTTAGGCTTAGGAAACCGGAGGCGCGTTTATGACCAGTGCACCCTAGCAAAACAATACAGCGATCGAGGCACGCGGGCCCATTGTAACTCGTCATTACCTTTACTAGCGGTCAATGGTCATAACCTGGGATTCTTGGGACAGCTGACGAAGACGTGTTTCTCACCTGTAAATACCCCAATTACATCGGTTTCGCCAGTTAATGTCCAGGAATCCCAGGAGACCCTTAGAAAAGGAGAAAAAATGACAATCCGTTTTTTTCTACCTCCGCACGAAATTTCGCCACACCCACACCAACAGACACGACCAATCACACTTAAACACACCCTCTCCAATACACACTGCATTCAATATATAAAGACAGAACTTAGACAGACAGGAGAATTGACACAACAGCCAACACGGTCACATCACAGTATAATAACTCGATATACTTTACATCTTATAAAATAAAGAACTCATTAGTACAGCACATATATTCAATATTTCGTTATCTCTTCGATCCTCCGCTCCGAGTCTTAGTTTACTCTGTGAGCGCGACACATCCGAACGGTTGAACCTGACCGATCGTCACTTTGCGTCGCAACTATGCATTTTGAAAATACTAAAAAACCACGTGAATCGTCGTTAATATATTATACTTCTTTAACAGTATTTCATTTTATAGACTTCATTCTTTCGAAATATACATTTGTCATTACAATGTTTACCGAAATGCTATAGAATTGAAAGAAGTTAAAATAGTTTTTACCTTTTTAGTCTTGTTTGCTGCGTAGTTAAAACTCTGTCGTATTTGTGTCACACTGGGGTCGTAATACTGCCATCTTTCATAGGGTGCGACTATATCGCTATCACGACGATAAGTTGCCGTCCAATTGATGACAGCGTTTTTAACGCTTTGCGTGTGATAAGGACACTCTAAAAAATACAGCATCCATACCTGTTGAAAATCGAATCAATCTCATTCGACGAATTGTAACTGCATTTTAAATAGTAGCACAGACATAGATTTCATTCGATACTCAATAATAAGTAGAAATCTTTCATTTTATGAAGTAAGTCTACGCAAAACTTCCAATCGTTTCTAAATAAATAGCACTACAATCCACTGTATGTGTGTATTCCTATTTAAACTTTCGCAATTGGTATTTATAACAATACTGCAGTTAATTTCATACATAGCAACCACTATTTTTGCTAACAAAAAGACACTATGCAGTGCATTTAAATGTGGAGGTTGATAAAATTCTTATCCGACATTGTATGGTATTTCAGTGAAATCTGGGCAAAACTGCTGTTGAAACAAGTATATTGATTCGGTCTGTGGATGGACACAATATGAATCTTAAAAACAAACCACATTCTGCACGACCTCAGGAGTTGGAAATAGAAGATTCGCAAGCATTACTGAATAAAAATTCGGCCTAACCAATATAAAACTACTATAATCATCAACTCAGACGTTTAAGTGATTAATTGGACAAAAAAAGACCGTTTACGAGACAAGGAAGTCGGTAAGTCATTTTATTGCACGACAACGATTGTCCACGCGTCGTCAAAGTAATTAAATGTAATATCTTAACTTTGGGATAGGAAGTTCTTTCACGTGCGGTTTACTCGCCAGATCTGGCCACAACAGATTATTGTTCGTTCGGCTCAATATAATGCCTCCCCCATCTATAGTGACTTTAGGTGTGACCCTCTCAATTCATGTATTATGTGATACCCTTGAGAGTTCAAGCCGCTAAATGTGTCCTTTGCTACTTAGGATTATTGTCGGTGAAAGAGCTTTCGAGGATCGGGACCCCCGACTGATTTTAGAACTAGGAACTTTGTGGGTGACCGAAGGCCCATTGATGAAACCGCAGCCAGGGCCGTGCGTATCTTATAGAAGTATATTTACTTTACATCTCAGGCCCCTGTAATCTCTTGCTCAGTAATATGTAATTTACGTATTAATAAAAGGTAACATAGATTGTCAAAGATTAGAAAATATATAAACTTCTTCCGTGAATGTTGCAAGTTAAACATTCGTTTACGATGAATATGTATTTGCACGAATATAATAGCAACTCTAGAATGGCAAATTAGTTTCTTTCAATCTCGAAAGGTAGATGACGTGTAATAAAACCGGAATTTCCGAAGGGAAAGTTCAAAATTAATTGTAACGGGTTGGAGACCGACGAGTCAGGACCCAGAGGAAATTCCGGGCTTTTATTAAATCACCATGCACTTTGTATAGTCCAAGTATCGCCATTCTCTACCTCCCTCCCTCCGCCCCTTTCTCTCGTTTTCTCACTCTCGTTAATTGGTTACTTTGAATTTTTCGTAACAACCAATCATTTGTATAAGTTATTTTCAAAATAGTATGCTGTACCAAAATTTTGTTAAATATACCAAAAAGGAAGAATCAGTTCAGTATTGACATCCTACGGCCCTAAACGAAGTTTGAGTACCATAAAAGTCTCACATTACGGGTTTTATGGCCAAACCGACTGCCTAGTTGTAAAATCAGTCGTGGGTCCCGCTCCACGAAAGCTGTTTCACCGACAGTACTTACCTTTACTTCTTCAGGACTGTACTTATTTGGTACAATTTCCCTTCTTTTACTACACATCTGAAATAATTTTCGTCCTCTTCAAATTTGAAATATTATTTTCTATGTGGGATGTAAAACTATTTAAGAAATTTGTTGTCTGCCCGTTTTGGTATATAGGGTGATAAAAAAAAGGTCAGATACTTATAGGCCCTATAGTATTTACCAAAAGGAGTAAAAACACATTGATTTTATACACTTCATAACCGTAGCTGTAGTACAAATAATAATTCATATTTGATGTTCAATATGTCTTGATTGTATTCATCGAACTAATACTACCAACTTCTGTGTATTGGAAGTGAAATACAGTAGACATTCGATTCCCGCACAAGTCGGAGCTGTAGAGTTGTGCAGCGCAGCTGCATATAGGGTGAGCTGGATATATGCACGTTACGGTTATGTTAATTATCTTCGTTATTTAGTATGGAGAGGGCTATTACTTAACAGTAACAGTTTTTTCGTAGATGAAGGATCTTTCGAGTTCCCAAAGTTCTTTTATTAATGATATTGAAATATTATGGAATAAAAATACTTTTTTTTTTAACATAAATCGATTCTTCTAAACATGCTGAGTAGTAAAGTATTAAGGTATTATGTGAAACAGTTAATAATTCTTAACATATTTTAATGGCAAATGTCTAGTTTGGTTAGCATCTTTTACCCATTACGTGTGATCCGCGAGACAAGAAGCATTCAAATTGCCACCAACATTCATTCCACCAAAATTCATTGTACTAATAAAAACATTATTAAAACAGTGTTATATACATTTCGCTTTCTGTGATGAGATATGCGTGTTAATTTTCATGGGTCTTTGTTGCACTATTGGTTGGCCAACAGTTAGAACTGTCATCCTTTTTGGCAACTGGGCTAACAATCATACCCGACGTATAGCCCACGTAACTATACTACGAAGGGCCAACTGTAGGTTTCTTTCTGTAGGGCTAATTGTTGAGTATCTACAATAAACTGAGGTGATAGGGTCCGGGTGCACTCACCAAGGCAAGAATCTGTCGTGAGTGTGTTTTATTGCGCATCGATCGTGTTCGAAGCGCGGACGTACAATGCTCGCGGTTTTTCGCCGTGGCATCACATCGGGGCACCGGGATCCCCCGCCGTCGACCTCGTGTGTCCCCGGGCCGCGTCGTGCGCCATCGGCCCACATTCAGGGAAATGGTTCGAGCTGTTCCCTTCCGCGGAAGTCACCAAATGACGCAGCGCTCACCACAAAACCAACAATAGGAAGACAGTTGGCTATATTACACTTCCATAAAATCCTTTATAAATATTTGTAGTATCGTAATTTTATCCGTACTCGAAGTTAGTTTTAAGAGAGCGTAGCTGGAAGAAGGTCATAAAAGAGAAAGCGAGGGTGGGCAGAGACGAAAGCCAAGCCCATCGATGAATCCTCGGCGACGAGCGGCCCACAGAAGCGTTGGCGCCGAGCGGACCGCCGATGCGTTGGCGACGTTTTGGCGAGCTAGGTCGTAGTGGGGATAAGGAAAAGCGACGCAAGGGTTTTTCCTTAAAAGGGGGGACGTGGACGGAGAGCGTGGTGGTGGTTGTCATTGAGTCTAGATATAGAGTTGTCGTGTTGTAGAGAGTTGGAAGTCCGACTTGTTCGTGTAGTCATTTACTGTTAGTTATAGCCGTAGTTGTATTTAGTTTAATTGCATTTGTTTTAATATAATTGTTATATCCTGTAGTTTCATAGCCTCTTTCCGTTGCACATTTTTCTTATTACTTAATTCATTCCACATTTCATTTCTTTGAAACTATAACGAGAAATGTCGACTGTCAGCGCAACCACTGACCCACTCGCGATTAACGAGAACCATCAGATTGGAAATACTTTATCGACATTCCTCGTTGCATCATGCACTAGTGACTTAATGAAATCATTACGATTTCATACAGTCACCGAGACAATATAAACTCTCGGATAAAGGTCAGTCATTCAGTAGTGAGTGAGAGTCAGTCAAGCCCAGACAAGTAGTCAATTTTTTTCGGCAGTCCCCTTTGACGGTGCTTCGCCTCATCTTTACACGTGACGGTGAGCCGAGTGACAGCGGTCGCTCGGCTGTTCAGTATCGGTTCCGCGACGTTTCCTACTTTGTGCGACACGACCTTGCGATTACGCGTGGCCTAACAGGCAAGTTTTATGGCACCGGACCGCGAAGTGTAACGTCCGAGACGGTGATAACGTATCCCGCAGTGCCTAAACCCTGTTCAACGGCTCCGAGCGCCAGCAAGCCTTCCGCCTCTTCAAGGATCCGAAATCCCGACTGAGCCAGCCGCAAGCGTGAAATCATTCATCTCCATCATCATTGGTATGTTAAGATTTATTTGTATCTTTTATTTAATTCATTGTTAGAATATATCTTTGTTATTATCAAGAACGAGGGTGATTTCCTATCCCTCCCGTTCCCTATCCAAAATTGCGTACTTCAGCGGTAAGCTTAGACAGGACGTGCTTTAGCACCTTCAGAGAGCCAGGACCCATAATTATAAATGAAGTAACGACCGCAACGCAAGACGTAACATAATCATGGTTTTAGATCACGCAATTTTAGTCATTCGTTCTAATAAACATAATATTTAAATTTAATCCCACATGTTTGAAGGAGTGTAACACTGGAAATAATATTTATAATAATTACTTGTTATAATAATTATATACATGTATAAATTGTAAACGTATATAAAACAGGTAAACAAGTATTTTATCAGCAAAGTTATCTTTACAATTTATTACAATAGGCATTCAATTGCCGCACTACCGTTATCTGCACAGATGACACGCCCCGTGCCACACGTATTTCATACGCACGTGCGCGTACCCTACTCTGTCGCCCAGCACGCCCAGACCGGAACACATACGGTGTCGCGTTTAACACGCATATCTCATCACAGAAAGCGACGTGTATATAATACTATTTTAATAAAATGTTGCAATGAATAATGGTGGCAATTTCATTGCTTCTTGTCTCGCACATCACACGTAATGGGTAAAAGATGCTAACCAAGCTAGACATTTGCCACTAAAATATGTCACGAATTATTAACTTTTTCACATAATACCTTAATACTTTATTACGCAACATGTTTATAACAATCGATTTATGTAAAAAAAAAGTATTTTTATTCCATGGTATTTCAATATCATTAATAAAAGAACATAATTAACATTGAGAGCTCAGAAAATCCTTCACCTGCGAAAAAACTGTTACCGTTAAGTAATAGCCCTCCCCATACTAAAAAAACGTCTGTGAATACACTTTTCTGATATCTTTAAAAATAACTAAGATAATTAACATAACCGTAAAGTGCGTATATCCAACCCACCCTATATGTAGCTGCGTCGCACAACTGAACGGCCGAGTGGTGGGGTAAGCTCTTGGGTAACTGGTTACCGATTTCTGCACGGTTCCTGGAAATTTAGCCCTCTACAGCCCCGACTCGTGTGGAAATCGAGTGTCTACTGTATTTACAATTTACACATGCAAGAGCGTTGGATGGAGGTCCCGATCCCACACTCGGCAAGCCTGCACTGACATTCGCCCTGAAATGTCTGCTGCGTACGTCTTCTTTCATCGTCTTTTTCGGGTAACACTCTCCCACTTTTCAACTTCTGGGAGACGTGCCCCTCTCTCTTCGTCTTTTCGGGTACCACTCTCCCACTTTTCGACTTCTGGGAGACGTGCCCCTCTCTTCGTCATCGTCGTCGTCATCGTCGTCGTCATCGTCGTAATTTTATGTGGTCGTAGATGCCTCCATCCCGGACGAGCCCCCAAATGTAGAAGCGTTGAAAAAATGAGAGTGCCCAAGCGTGATTCGAACCCACGACCCCCTGCGCCGAAAGTCGAGACTCTACACTCTGCTCCACGGAGCCTTCCTGTTTTCCACTGATGTTATTTGCTCCTTCTTGTTGGGTATGGACGTCCCTATCCCACATACATGTAGACAATTATTACAAATAATTATTATAAGTTATTTCCAATCTTCTGTCCCCTCACTCTATTTTCACAAAATGTCAAACGTCAAACGTGTTGCACGACAGTAACAAGTTATGAGTATATTCATAAATAAGAAAACAAAAAAAGGAATTTGAAATATAATAACAAGTTTTTGGTTGTAGCAACATTTCTGGCGTCTTTAAGACGATATTTAAAGGTTGGCAAACTTTGGGTGGGCCAATGTTGTATTATCGTTGTAAATTTCTTGTTAATTAACCAACTATAATAATTGTGGGTCCAATAATGGATATTCGTTGGGAAATTGTCATAACTTTTTTGTCGTAGGTCCTATTTTAGGAATTTGAAAAACAATAACTATATCCTAACTAACTCCCAACTGTAGGCCACCGTTGGCCAACCATAAATGCTACTAGGAAACATACCTAAGCTGGAAAACTCTTCACTCACACTGAGGATACACGAGAATGCATCGATTTTTTAATTATCTCGAAACCGATGTCACTTTTTCGTGATAGAATCAATCAATTACAGGTATGTAAACGATAGCGAAAAGTAGTCGAAACCAAAGGAAAATATTTTGATGACGACTAAAGGTAAATACAATAAAAAGTAAATAGACATCTCCACTGTTGACATTGGCTGGAGAGGGTAAACGAATTAACGACACCGGTCGTGAGATGACCACAAAACATATTTAATGTATAAAAGCTTAACGATAGAAAGAGGACGCGACAGTATGTATAGACGGTACAGTCTCTGAAATGAACTGTGCAAGTTGCGTATCTGAGAAAACACATGGTGGTGACGCTCTGCACGCACCCTGACGCATGCAAGAATGAAACAGGCTGGCGCTCGGAGCCGTGATACAGGGTTTAGGCACTGCGGAATACGTTGTCGCCGTCTCGAACGTTGCACTTCGCGGTTCGGTGTCTTATAAAACTCGCCTGTAGGCCGCACGTAATCGCGTGGTCGCGTCGCACAAGGAAGATATATCGTCGCGGAACCCGAAACTTAACAGCAGAGTGACCGTTATTGCTCAGCTCGCTGTCGTGTCTAATGATTGGAGCGAAGCACGACTGTCAAAAAGCGAACGAACAAGCCGTTGAAGAGTGACACATGAACCAAAACTAAGAGAGCGTTTAAACTGAGAGACGTAAAAGGGAGCTTAAAAAGAGCGCGTTCACAGAGAGACTAAAGTAAAAACAGAGCTCCTGGTTTTGAATAATTCCTTTATAGGTTATTCCTACCTTCCTTTATTAGAAAACGTGGAAGACACGGGGTAGCAACAGGCTATGATTCGGGATCATCGAGACGCCGAGGCGGAGTTTTAGAATCGCTGACGTTTCCGTCAGCGTCTCGACGAAGGACGACCATGCCCGTTGCTTCCACATGTCGCTGAATTGACGGTTCTCGTTCGTTGTTCGTGTTTGAAGGTGATAAGAGAAAAATGTGCAATGTAAAGAGGTTCTGAAACTACAGGATATAACAAGAATGATTAGTTTAAAAGATATTTTAACTTCAGTTTCTCAAAATTGTATAGTATTGGGACCTATAGACTTGAACGTTTCTTCTCTATGCCTTTGTTCGTGTTTACTAATTCTAATAATTTTAATCATTTAAACTGATCATTTTGCGACGTAAGTACCTTGATACTTTTTTGCAGAGAATTAAAAATACATCGAATGGTGTATAAAGAATATATAGTTCCATTTTAAAAACTACAGATGACCTTGAAATCTTTCAAATGCTGCTACATTCGATAAAGACACATACACTACGTGATGCATCACTTAAAACTATTTCATTTTTCTTAATGAAATTTGTTTCCATCTTCTACTTAACGCTCCTTTATGACTTGGCCCAGTTACGTGGGACACCCTGTATACTGTGCAAGAAAAACTACTTTAACTGACGCATACCAGTTTTCATTAAACTTTGTAGACAGATAATGTACCTAATGTAATCCTCAAAATTTCGATTACAATTTTTTGCATCGATGGACGTTGATGTCTAATTGTAAGACATGAAATTATCCATCATAAATAGTTAAATAAAAAAAATTAAATATTCAAATTGCTATAGTTTGGAAACCTTTCATGTTTCATAAGAATTATATAACTCTGTTAAATTAAATGACTGAAAAGTAAATAAGAATAGAGGAGAACATTAAAGACAGAAGATGATTAGTTTTCTATGAGAAATAACAAAACAAAGCTCCTATGAAATTATAGTATTCAGAGGAATTAATTCCTTACAATTTATTCCTGTACGATATAAATCTCAGAAGCATATTGAAGAAAACTGTTTCTTAGCTAAAACAATCGAAGTTGTATGTAACTGCTACAACGAAATTAATTGAAAACTTGAAAGAAACTAAAAGTAGTAAATAAAAATAGGATATAAATTGAAGAAAATAGATTATAACTTTGCCTTTAAAAAGACTACAAACATTCCGAACAATCCAATACATTAAATTAACAAAAACAAATGATTTTAGACATTTTAAAAATTATTAACCAAATGTTTTGTAACGTAAACAAATATTTTCCATGTTGCCATGTCCAGGAATGCTTTCTTACATCATTCTGACAAATTAAAATAGAACATAATTCACATTACATACTTGTTTTGAGGATCTCCTTCCTACGTGCGTTACGTAGTCCTTAAAAAGAATTAAATCAGCGCCGTCGGGATCCTCCCTAACGATGGTGCATGTATTCACTGGGCAACGATGCTGAAGAAATATGTCAGGACCAACTTTTGCCTCGGGCATACCGTGCGGAACCATTATTTTTCTCAATTGATGCTCTGCACCCGTTTTATTGTAATTGTGAGGTACGAACATTAACTGCAAAAATAAGACACAGTATACATTAGGAATTATTAAAATATTCTATTATTTAAAAATTCGAACAAAGACATATTCAGAGCGTTCCACACTAAGCGGTGATTGAACTAGCACCTAAAATAGTTAAATTTATAGAAAACCTTTAAAAACAAAATTTGTACCATGTAAATCATAGTTGTTGATTGAATAAATGAGGTACTTTTATTGTCGTGCTTTCAAAATCACGACACGACATTTCAGTTTTTATGCCTGAGTAATGCTATGTACTTTGAACTGTGGAGTCAAACACAGTCATTTATTTTCGAACAACCAATAGTATCTCCAACAGTAATTAGAAATGCCGATAATTATGCACAATAGAGGCCTCCCCACCGATTTGGCTGACCTTCAAATATGTCGTCAAGGTCAACATTCTGAACACCTTTTCCCCTTACATGTAACCGCCGCTCGGTCTTAGTTTCCGAGATATTTGCCAAAAACTTTAATCAAACGTAGGTTACGATTGCAGTTCATTCTAGCATAGGCGGTCGCCCAACGTCACCCATCAAACACACACACACGCACGCGTGCACGCGCGGTGTGCCCTAGAGATCATGAAGAAACTTTTTTCCTGTCTTTTTTTACATATTAATTATTAACTAAACTTTCGTTTAGTGGAATGTTGGGTGCGTGGCTAAGACTGAGTAGTGTGTGGCAGGATGCCAGGCGCACGGAAAATTATGTACGTTTGAGTAAACGCCCACGCTTTTACTTCATAACATATATATGTTATGAATACTCACCCTTTATTTGAGAGGAAATCTTAACAAATAATCAGCATTCGATATACATAGTGGTAAACATATTTTTGCGTATATCTCGAAAACTGAAAGGGACTGTCTATTATATATACCCAGTTAGCACTATACATCCAACGGACGTCCGTTTCATGTCCAGTTTATATCCAAATGTTCTACGTCCACTTTGGACATACCTAGGATGTTCATGAGCCTTAAATGTTGGATGTTCTAGGAATGTCCATTTCTTAAGTCTTACGCATGTTCGTAGGTTTTAAATTACGGATGGTTTCGTTTAAAGAATCAGTAGAGAAATGTAACGACACTAGTGGTTTTGTGCGGAAACCTCAGGAAATTTGAAAAGACATTTTTTTCTTAAACTATCTCTAGCCAGCACAGAATCAGTATTTTGCTCTGAATCATGATTTTTTTCTTAAACTGTCTATAACCAACACAGAATTAGTATTTTGCTTTGAATAAGTGTTTGCTTCCTTAAACTCTGTCTAACCAACCCAAAATCAGTACTTTGCTTTGAGTAAGTGGTTTTTAAAACTATCTCTAATCAACACAGAATCAGTGATTTTTTTTCTACAACTGTCTTTAACCAACACAAAATCAGTACTTTGCTTTGAAAGTAAAAATAAACACAAAGTACATACAGATCGTGGCCCCCAGACCTATTGTGGGATCAGATGGGAAGGTGCTTGTGGGCTACACAATAGTTTTAATGAGGAAAAAATATATTTAAGAAGTATAATACACCGGAGGTTAACACGCGTGGTCGACGCTTCGCTAACTTCATTCTTACTGCGCGTTTACACACGCCGACTCTCGGACACGCACGCACACACGCGGGACTACTTTGTTACCACATTCGGCAATCCTGTGTGATCATCTGTCCTCAGATGTGTCTTCTTCACTGCTCGATGACAGGTCATGTTCTTCACAAATCCACGGTTTCATGAAATCTCTAGAAGTAGACGTAGTCCGCGGTCCCTCGTGTTCTCCAATTTTTTCAACCAGATAGCGGTCATTACGTAATATTGTAATAACTTTATATGGGCCTACATATTTCGGACAAAATTTGAGTCCAGGCTTCAGTTGAGTCTTTCGTATAGCGACTAAATCGCCCTCTTTAAAATGCGTATAATCTTTCTTTCTCTTCTTGTTATAGGTTTTCCTATTTTTGTCTTAAATCCGTGCTATTGATTCTCTTGCTTGCGTACGCAGCTGATCGCGTGTATCTTGAAAAGAAACAGCGGTTTCCTTTTCTAAAATTTCCTTAATTTGCGGATCGTCTTGGAGTCTCATACGGGTACCCACTAAAAGTTTAAAAGGCGATACACCAGTACTGCGGTTTGGTACATTATTTAAATACTGCTGGGCCCTCCCAACGTATTTATGCCAATTCTCCGGCTGTGAAAATGCAAGCTTCGTTAAGAATGGAATAAGCGCCCGATTCACTCTTTCCACTTGTCCATTGGCTCTCGGTATTCCGATGGTAATCATAACATGTTCAATATTCTCTGTTTTACAATAATTTGCAAAGTCATGGGAAGAAAATGCAGTCCCTCGGTCCGAAACAATCCTTTGCGGGTTTCCAAAAATTAATGCTTGCTTACCCAAACGATCGATGACCTCAGCTGTAGTAGTCGACTTGGTAAGATATAACCACACGAATTTGCTAAAACCATCAACGACAACAAATATGTGCTGGTAGGATTTCTTCGCGGATGCAAGTGGGTCTAGATGGTCCACGTGGTACGTGTGCAAAGGGCAGCCTCCTTTATCAATTGGATGTAAACATCCTTCTAGACGACCAGTTTTACGTTCAGCCAAAATGCATTGAAAACAATTTTGTATTACCCTCTCTATCTTTGGTCGCATAGAGCTAAACCAATAATCTCGCTTGATTAATTGTTCCGTGTTTGCAACGGCAAAGTGACCCTGTTCGTGAGCGAGTCGAATAACATATGTTTGCATAGATTTAGGCATGACAAGCAGTTGCTCGCCATCAATTAATTTGTATAAAATCCCATTCTCTTTCACGTAGTCCGTTGAATTATTATCCTGGTTCATTTTATTCTGCAACTCTTTGTCGTTCGTTTGCGCTCTCTGTATCTTATGAATAATAGCCGCTTCCTCTTCGATAATCGGCATGGCCGAAAGTTCATAACGCGCAGTAAGAATGAAGGTTCGAGATTCCTGCTTAGAGCATCCACGTGACGCATGGTATTACCCGACCGATGCTCAACAGTGTAATTAAAATCCTGCAAAAACAGCGCCCATCTGGCGACGCGAGGACAAGCATCCTTCTTCTTTAACGTCATGACAAACGCCTGACAATCGGTTACTATTTTAAAGGATATTCCTATCAAATATATTCTAAATTTCTTAAGTGACTTTACTATTGCTAGAGCTTCGAGTTCGTAGCTATGATATTTTTCTTCACGAGGATTTGTTTTACCGCTAGAATAATAAATTGGATGCAATAGCCTATCTTCGTTATCTCGTTGTAATAAAATTGCACCAAATCCCAATGCAGATGCATCGGTATGTAACTCTGTTTCAGCCGTCGGTGAGTAAATTTTCAAGATTGGTTTATTAATCAATGTTAGTTTCAACCTATTAAACGCGGTTCGCTCTTTTTCTCCGAAATAACACTCGACTTTATCTTTCAACATATTTGTCAAAGGACGTGCAATTAATGAATAATTCGGTACAAATTTTCGGAAATAGTCACTAAGGCCCAAAAAACTTTGTAAAGATCGCACGTTTACTGGTTCCGGAAATCGTCTGACGGCATCTGTCTTTCGTTCGGACGGTTTAACACTATTATTTTCGATTACATATCCGAGATACTCAATGCGAGTTTGCAAAAATTGACATTTCGCCCATTTAATCGCCAAACCATGTTCGCTCGCAACACTCAAGACCCTTTTCAATCGCTGCAAACCATCCTCGTAATTCGATGCAGGTATAATAATATCGTCCAGGTAAATAATCGCATCACCACTAGCAACTAAGTTTCTAAAAATAGCGTTAATTTATCGTTGAAACAACGAAGGGGAGTTACAAAGCCCGAACGGCATGCGACAGAATTCATACTGTCCTGACGGAATAATGAAGGATGTATATTTTGTGCTATTTTCATCTACGCATACATGAAAAAATCCGTTCTCTAAATCCAAGGTTGTAAATACGCATTTATCTCGTAAGCGATCAATTTGGTCTTCTATATTTGGTAGTGGATAACGATCCTTTATTATCTTTCGGTTGAGTTTTCTATAGTCCACACAGATTCTTATCGAACCGTCTGTTTTCCTAACAAGCACGATAGGACTTGTAAAATCTGACTGTGAAGGTTTGATAATTTTATCGCGAAGCCACGCTTCAATTTGCGAATTTACTTCTTTATTCTCCTGCACGGCTAAGTGTCGCGGCGCCTGATACACGGGAATCTCATCTCGTAAGGAAATGTGCATCCTAACTCCTACGTCTTTTGTCTTTTCCGGTTTATAATTCTCAATTAGATTTTTTACTTCCGCGCGAACCTCAGGTTTCGGAACATGTGATAAATCAATACCGTTGTCTTGCTGAACGATGTGCAAAACTTCTGGTAAATCCTCGATTACATTTGCCGTTCTCGATATACTAAAAATTCCGTCTCGCATACAAACATCGACTGTTCTCATAAAATCGTACCCTATTGTAGGGATTTTGATCGGGTTGTCGGTTGAGACAATTATCCCACGTGTTTATAGGTGTAAGTAATTTTATTAATAGAATAAAATGCGTACTTTATAATATCGGATGGATTCTCGCTATCTCACAATACTCGCTATCTCGCAATACTCGCTACCTCGCAATACTCGCTATCTCTCACTGCTCGCTGTTTTACAGAAAAGTCAATCTCTCTCGTTGCTTCGCGGTTTATATATCAGTTTTCGGCTACGTATTCGCTTACGTGCCTACCTCGCGGTTATCGCCCTTTACCTCTCCTTCTCTCTCACACACACACTCTTTCTCTCTCACATTTGCACTCATCGGTCGCTCACCTATCGCACGCACCCATGTGTTGTTTATGCTTCGTGCCGTTGACACCAGCCAACGGCCCGCGTGCGCGTCTTATCGGCTGGCGAGGACACGTTTTTGTCCTAGTCCTCGCACAGTGGCTATCCGTCTCCCACATTATTATCATGTCATGCGGAATAAGCGCAT